CTTCGGTCATTATTTAGCCATTTTGTTGACTGGTAGCAATACAAACACAGACATGACACTTTTAATAATCAATTACTCAGTTAAGCGGATGAAAATGCCAAACAAATACATGCTTCTCAAATGTTAGCATTTGTCGTGTGATAGCAATACTAATATTTTTAGGTTTTAAACTATTGGTCGGGCAAAAAAAGAAATTTGAAGAAGTTATAATGGAAGATTTGACAGGAAATGTAGTATTTTTCTCATCATCCAACACGGTTCCAGCATTCTAATCATTATGGAGAAATGGTAAAGAGGGAGGGAGCATTGATGATGTATTGATTGCAGCATTTAAAGGTTAACGTGCCTTCATAGAGGAACGCGGTGAGCATTTCATATATAGGATGAGGATGTTATGGAAGGTTGGGCGCAAGTGGGAGAAATAAACATATGTATACAGTCTTAAAACATTGTTCCACGTGCCAATCTTAGTATCTCAGTGTCTGATCCTACAAACAACCGCCGGCCAAACCACACACACACACACACACACACTCACGCACGCACACACACACACACACTCACGCACATATAGTAAAACAAACAGGGAGTGGACGGGGAAAAGCCGCCCCGTCATGACTGTGGGTTGCGCCATGCTGTGCTCATTTGCCTCTTTAAGCTGTGCCACGCAGCGTGGGATTGTGTACTTACTCCTGCAATTAGTTTTGGAAACACAACTGTAGCCGTCACCTCATCACGAGGGAGTCAACAATTTTACAGTTTGAAAAAAAAAATCTTTTTCACCTCACGGCCATATTCCCCTGTGGTTGCTGCAATGCGTTTGAGCGGTAAAATGCGATACACAGGCGAGTGCGGAGAGACTCTATCCCGTAATAGGCGGCCTCCGAGCGCAGTAATCATAGGGGGCTAAAAGGGGAAAGTCACCATCTGGCCTGGGAGCAGTAATCACAGGTTGGCTGTTATTAAGCTTCCAGACGACAACTATGAACTTAGGATTTAGTCCATTCACTTTCCTCCAACTCACTGTGTCGGTCAGGTGAAGGCCAAGAGACTTGTGTTATGTGAGGCTTTCAGAACGGCGTCCTAATCACAGACAGTGGACACACACAAAACATGAGAAGCATCTTGAGACGCACACTTGCTGAGAGTTAAAAAAAACTCCCTCACGTCTGAACGTGTGCATATGAGGCGGGCAGGCGATTAGCTTAGCTTAGCAGGAAGTCAAAACAAAATGAGACGCAACATGTTAGTGAGGTGGACTTTATTATTTACGGCCTTAGCCCTTTGTTTCAAGTGTTTGTTCTAAGCGAAGATAACTGATCCCAGACCACAGCTTGGTCTGCTGGTCCATCTGCTCATTTACCTCTCAGCAATAAAATGAATTAAGAGTCTTCCTCTTGATACCCTTGATCTCTTCGACGTCACAGTTGCTTTGAGACTGAACAAGGTGAGCACGTCAAACCGTGAGCTGCTGCTAACACAAGTCCAGACGCATCTCTGCATGACTCCACAAAGACTCATTTCACTATAGAAATCCCAGATATGGCAGACGATAGCTGACGTCACCAAACAAGAGGGCAGACGTGTTACCGATGTGCGCAAGAGCTCCAAGTAACCTGTGATGATTTATGTTTCAGAGGACGACACACCTAGGACGGCCCTGATATGAACACACACACACACACAGGGCAGGAAGGATGGGTGTTGGACATTGGATTGAACATTACCTTACTAACATGTTTTACGAGCTGCGTTTTGTGAACACATAGGATGTCAGTTCAGGTCAACGCAGCCAGAAATTTGGCCTAATACTGTTTCCGGTCAAAGAATGAGATGATGAAAGACGTTGTCACGGGACTTCATAGTTTGTGCTCCACCACGAGCTCATGGACGGGAGGGAAGGCTCCTGCGCCGCGTTAGACGTTCTGTGTGATCGACCTGGGGAAAAAGGGGTGTTCTTTTCCTTTCATCACAAGGAATAGACTGCTCCATCTGAAACACTTGGTCATTTAGCCGGTTGAAGCTAAAGTCAACAGCGCGGTGTCAGCAGGAGGTCATCACGGGCCCCGAGCTGCCGGTGTGACGGCCCGCTTGCTGATAGACGGGGTTCAGGTTACTGATAGAGAAATGCAAACACAAGGTGGCGAGAGGCTTCAGGCTTTTACAGAGTGTAGTTTGAATGCAAACCTTACATGCAGGAAAAGAGTTGTTGCGTGAAAATGGAAAAACTCAAGCTTAACAAATTTGAAAATGTCATTGTGATGGGCGGTTATCTCTGTGTGCGTGTGAGAGAGGATTATCCGTGTTATTTTGTGGGTGGTCAACGCCTGTTGGTGATTAGTCCCGGCGTTCTTGTGACCGATTAAACCCCTTCCAGAGTGATTTCTGCTGACACACATAAACCGACTCCCTCATCACACCTCCACCTTTGTTCATGAACAACCACCGCTGTTCTTCAGGGCGACAGCAAGTCCATTTGTTTGATGCGAACAATGCAAACAATAACCACTTAACAAAACGCAGGATCCATTAGCCATTTTGGGACCTTTTCCTTCCTCTTCTTACATCCTAACTGTACTTCCTGACTTCTCCGCGGCTGGAAGTGGAGAGCGATGAGCTCAGAATCTCAGCTCTCCCAAGTGGCAGCTGGAGGAAGTGACAACTGGGTCGGAGCAGGTTGGCCTTTCTCACGTTACCCGTTTCAACGCAGAGCGTCTACCGCGCGAGCTGCCGGCTTCAAACACCTACACACAAACAGCACGTGGGGGCTGTGAGCCATGTTTCACGTTCGGGAGAATGTGTCCGTCTGTGTGTGTGTGTGTGTGTGTGTGTGTGCGTGTGTGCGTGTGTGCGTGGGTTCCGGTGGCGACGGTGTGAAACCTGAAGCCTTGTCCGCACAGCGCCACGATGCCAGGACGACAGGTCGGCCGTGACCGGGAATTTCAGGGGTCAGGGCCGGGAATCTGGGGTTCGCTCTTGTCGGGGCCGTCTTTAAGAGAAAGGTATTCGCCGCGCAGTGCGGGGAAGTAGTAAACGGGCGTGGAAAGGTCCTCGAGTGGCTTTCCACTGTGCAACAGCTGATGCTAATAAAAGGAGCTGATTAGTTTAGCAACTCGCGTAGCTGGGATTTCACCTCATCCTCGTATCGGGCGTGGAGGCCGAGGCAGCGGCGCCGAGGCTCCTGAGAGGAAAGACCTTTGCTGGACAGGATGGGCTCTCAGGACAGACCTTTTGAGCGCACACCCTTGTACCTGCCACCCCTCCCCCCCTCTCTCCCTCTATATCCATCACCACCTCCGCCCCCACCCCCCAAAAGTGACACGCAAGGTTAAGCTGAAGAGGGCTAGATAAAGAGATTCCTGATAAAAAAAAAAAGGCTGGACAGCGTTTATCTAAATGAACCGGATTTGCAAAAGAATCTCTCCTCTTATCAAGAGGAAGATTTGAACAACGATGATATCATTTTAACGTCACAGCTTTCCAAATCAGACCGGCTGAGTCACAGTAATGAATCGCGGCGAAGATTTATCCCACCGCGCCGGTTTTAGCTGAGTCTGGTTTAATCCTTCACAAAATTCCTCCTTAATTAAATTCACACTGGTTGCACTGAGGAGTTCGGGAAGCAGATTTTGTTCCTTGACCCATAAGTTGTATAAAAAAAGGACAATCCGGTCAATCAGTTGAATGCAATTTTCATAAAAATGCAAGACAACCACAAGTAATACCTGTTTTTTCTACGGTTGATGCCCATTCAAATTATACGGTAGAGTTTAATTTGATGTCAGTTGAATTGACAATAATTTAATCAAATTACATGTTAAGACTTTGTCCTTTGCTAACAATTCAAAGACATGCGACACAGGGAAGGTTATATCACAAACCTGGATCAAAGTCAAATACATATTTGGGGATTTCAGTTATTACAGAACAAAGGACGCTCGCCAAATAATAACAATTCTCTATGGCGACCTGGTCTAAAATGATAATCTGGAAAGCATATCAATCTAATAAAACAAGATTACGAGCCCAAATCCAGGTCGCCTCAATCTGCTCACTACACTGTTGGTTTATGCGACAGAACTTTGAAAACTGTAGTTTGTACGGCTTCTTGAGACGGATATTCTTTCACTCCAAGACGGAACTCGCAGAAAGACGCTGTTTCGTAAGGAGACATCACTCAGGATGACCAGAAAATTACGCAACAGCACATTAGACCACTGGAACTCAGTGGGACCCCATGACAACACTTTGGTAAAACTCAGGTGACTAATCACCTGCTTTAATTAAGAACCGGATCTAAAAAATGAACATACATAGTAGATGGGCAAACAGCACGAGACGAGAGTCACCTATGAAACAGCGTCCGTCCCCTGAGTCACAGCACAGCTCATCCCAGAGGGCCAAGTATGGTAAGTAGTTGGAGGTGAGAGCAGGAGACTGACTGTCCCCCCCCCCCCCCCCCTGTGTGTGTGTGTGTGTCCCCTGACTCAGATGAGGGGGACAAAGCAGAACTGCGCTGCACACACAGCCTGCATATGTGTGGCAGGATGACACATCCCACCTGCAGGGGACACACTCAGTTTTCACAGCCACGCTGGTGCAGGTTGATCAAAGCCATGCTGCACAAGAGGAGACGGAAAGCGGCGGTGATGCTTTCACACGACCCCGATAATGAGATTATCTGTGTATATTTAAAGTAGTTTTGTTTGGAGGGCGGGGAGGGGAGGGGGGTTTATTCCTGCAAAGCAGCCCGGTGCTAGTCTGGGATACTCACATTTCGATAAATGAGTAAGCATCCCAACAAAAAAAAAGAAAGCAAATGATGGTATGTTAATAAGTGACTATAGGATGAAAACGGGAGCAGCGAGACTCGGCGCACAGCAACAAAACACAGAAACAAAGACCGCCGGCTTCCCAAAACCATTTACAAGTCACTTTCATAGCAGAGTACAAATACAGAAAACCCGCGTTACAGTACCGGGAGGCTCGTAGTGACTTACCTCGCAAAAGAATGTTTCCATTTCCCCCGAGCGGCCGGACCTCTCGTCCCTTTGTAGTCTGAGTTCAGGGTACCACGGCGGAGGAGAGGAAGCCGTCCTCCCGGGTGATTTCCATCCACGTCGTCCGGCTAAAGAAAAGTTCTTCTTCCTCCTCCTCCTCCTCCCGCTGGCTCAGGAAGCTGGGACCATTTCGCGGGGCGTGTGGTCTTTCGCTGAGGAGTTTTCTTCCCGGTGCGCTGCCGAGCTGCTGCGTTTCAGCTGTCCAGTCGTTTCAATGAGCCCGGCACATTGTGAGTGGGGGGCGGGGCCCAACTGGGCATAGCTCCTCCCACTCGGCATACGCCCTTTTGCTGTTCACTCCCACAAAGGGGCTGATGGTTTTAAAAGATGTGTATTGTTTCCCCTGTGGTGTTCAACACAAATGCACTCACACACGCACACGCACACACTCAAGCACACAGTTAAAGGGATATGAGACAGGAATATTTGTACCAAGGGAGGAATTGTTGCATACTGAATTCTCCCCCAGTTATCCAAGTATGTGTGTGTTATAGACTGACGATGAGTCGTTATTTAGACTTCCTCCTTTCGGAAAAGTAAAAATAAACTAAGGAGGAGGAAGAGGGAGATCACGTGTAGCGAGTCATCTCAGTTAGAGATGTTTATGAAGTGATGTGGGTCCCAGGACGTGTACAGGCTGTTTTGTTTTTGTGCAGGTATATAAATGTTATGTTAGAGGCTAAACGCTTCACACAATTCATCAAAAATGTCATTGCTCACACAACAGAGTGGTTTTACTGCTACTATAACAACAATGGACAGACAGACAAACAGAAAACGCTTTTAACTCATTCTTTTGGTTTCTTGGCCCACAGATTTATTCTAATTCTTTATTTGTTTTTAAGAACAGGACAACAATGAGAGAGACAGAATCAATCTAAATGATTCAATTTTTTAAGCTGCGGTTTGAATATCATTTTTAAATCTGACTTTACATTATTTAGAGGATGCCACGAACTCTGTTCTCTTACTTTTGAGATCATAAAAATGAATCCGGTGCGAGCATATCGAACATATAGATTATTTTCCTTAAGCTAAACTAAACAGAGCTTTATTATTATTGTACACTTTCCCCACAGTTACCAAATGCAATCTTACTGGTTGTCTTTTAAGCTTACAATCCACACAAAAAACACAAGCTTTTTAATCTGCGCCCTTATGTCAGTAAGATCAGCCCCCCACTCATGACCTGGGATAACAGTGGTACAGATGAATCTAAATGCAATAGTCATGCCAAGAGGACAAGAGAGGCAGACTGGTAAATCGCCTTGAGTCTGTTATGTAATGGGTGCGGACTGTGTGGCAGCTAATAGAAGTGACGCGGCAGAACGCAGTCTCTCAAATTTCCGTTGGTTAAAGCTCCCAAAGCGCTTAGTGGTTTTCTTTCTCCATTTTTTTTGTCCCATCTGGATACAATTTTAAAATAGAATCTCCTTCTCCTCCCCTCTATGAACTACGACGGACTCCTTGGGATTTGTCTTTTGGGTGTATGTTAAAAGGTGGTCATGAAGTATTGTAGAAGTAGGCCTATAACAATAGTCACTCGATTAACATGACAGTAATATAGAGAAGCTTAATCATATTTTTAGGGATTCAGTAATTCCTGGGGAGCAGCTTTAATTAGAACAACACAATCATTATTTTGTGTTACTAAAAGAGAATCCTTTTGCCGTTGCCAAAGCTCAGTGACTGTGAGACTGTTGCTTACTGAAAGGGGGTTTGTCCAGCAACGTGGACGTAGACCTTCTGGTCTACGTCCAGAAGGTTCTCCTTTCACCCTTAATTCTGTCTGGATAATCCTATTTTTTAACTATACAATTTCCTGTCAATACTACAAATATGTATATATGTATAATTTACCTAGAAAGATAGGGATATATACAGTATATGTACATATATAGGAAATTCCTGTAGTTATATCTTATAGTATGGGTGCAGGATTGTTCCACATCATGTCTCAGTTGATTTGTTCCTTTATAGTAAAACCAGGGCTGAATATTAGGTCTGACTGAGAGTCGTCAGAGTGTCGAGGATATTCAGCATTGCACTGACTGAGCATCACCCATTACACATTTGTTAAAAACCAAACAATGGTAAAAGAAGCGCTCTTTGAGTGAGCGACTAATTTGACGCCTCAATGTGCAAATGCAGCAGACAGAGTGGGTACGGCTTTCTTTCATTCTACCTGAGGGGACAACGACAGCAAAAACAAAACATGCATTTAGTCTTCAACATCCCCAGAGGGATCGGGGGAAGCGACGGAGATCATAAGACCTCCTGTTCTCCGTTCCTGCCGTGGCCTCAACCAGTCAACATGTGCTGGTTTTGTCCTTTGAGGGGAACAACCGGGCGGGTCAGCAATGTTTCCGAGGTTTTGAAGCAGATTCGACATTGAAAAACCTCATCGCAGCAGGACAACTGCTCCCCATGTCAAAGAGGAAAGAACCAGACAAACAATGAACACAGATCAGGGTCAATAACACTATTACATTTTGGTTGCCAACTACAGCCTTTTAACACATTGCTATCGGTGTCAGGAAGGAATTTTAAAAAGTGCATGTGACACAGTTTATTTTGGTTTTACGTTTTAAAAACGACATCTGTGACCCTATATATACTTACTGAAGGGGACACTAGGCATACCACAGACCGACAAAGTGGACTGCTGGGTCAGGTCTGCAGGGTTGGTACTGAACATGTGTTCAGCATGAAATCGAAAACCACGAGAAGATGTGCTTCTGCAATGGACGACGGGTATTGGTCCTTCATCCTGTGGGACAGCGAAGGTCGCATTTCTATCACATAAGAGAAAAACACAGGAAGATGGGGGTTCTAAGGCATATTCAACAGTATCGAAAAAATGTTAAGGTTAATCTGCTGCATTAATATGGATCTACTTCACAACGGTTGCCCTTATTTCCTGCTCTTACAACAGGGCAGTACTTTTGCATGAAGATGGTCTACTCCGTCCGAGGTAACGAGCTGGGGTAATGTGACCATTTCAGATCAGCGGCTCTATTAAATGCGTGCGGAGGGCTAACAGGGTCTGTGCGGGCCCTCCTGTTAGCGGACAAGACCTGAGGCAAAGTCATTCAGGTCAGGTGAAGGACACTTCAGCCTCATGTCATACAGTTAATACGCCGCTCAACAGCCAGACCCTGATAATCACTTAACTGGAGGTTTTGATAATGTAAAAAGCAACCGTCCGTGTATTATTGCCTGAACCCCGATGACCTGTGAATAACTAGCACAAACATTGATCCGCGCTCGGTCACGTCGTTATATCACCGGCTGCTTTGCTTACGATGACGTATGTTTGTTGGCAACGTGTCACATTGAATAAAGTCTAACACACCTTCTTTTTATTTACTGTGGCTGGAAATATTTGATGTGTGATTAGTGTCAGACCTACATATACTGATGTTGTGTTAACCAAACATTTTTTAAATCCGTGACACTAACGACAACTGTTTTTTCCCAATTGGAGTTGTCATATTAAGGATGTAGCTATTAATATAAATCTTGAGAACCCATTCTCTGAAACCGAAGCAGCCAAACATTTTATATCAAATGGCCTAAACTCACAGAGTTAACAGTGCTTTACAAACATACAACACCCTTTTTAACTCTCAATTCAGCTCAGGGAAACTGCACAAAAAAAATGTACAAAGAATTAGAAACCTCTTTAGAGACAAAATGTCTGTATTATTTAAATAAAGCAAAGATATATCGTATTAAGAAATATTATGTGTAATAAGATGGTAGAGGGATGATGTGCAAAGCTGTAGCTGTGCATTAGAAGATTAGTCGAGAGGTCGTTGCTATTCATCTTTTAGGATGGTGACCACTGTGCCGAGGGAGCCGGGGTTTATTGGACACACCCAGGGAACAAAGAAAACAAAGAAGGAGGGAGGGAGAGGGTATAAAATTGATTGAAATAAATTTTGTTTAGCTAAGATGGATGGCAATGTGACCATGGAGATAAAAATGGAACATCTGACAATATCCTTTGACAAAGGCGATTCAATCTTTATTGGATCACTCTCGCTGAAAGCGTCACGTTAATGTGTAAATATGGTCGATGACAAATCTTGGTGCCACATTTATTAAATCATGTGGCTGATCATGGAACACCAAAGGGCCAACAGGTCTCCAACTAAAAGCATTACTCACACCTATGACAACAATGGATGCCGTTTTCACAATCGAGGGCAAAAGATGATGGAAGGAAAATAATCCGTCAACGATTCAGTGGATTAAATTACAAGTGGTATTTTTTTATTAAAATTGTATTTTTTTCTCTGTTATTTTCCAGGTGAGCTGCAAAACAACTCAATTTAATCAACAAAATCTAAGCACACATTTATTTTGAAAAATAAAAATTGTAATGACTAAAAGGGAAAAAATAAATGATTGAATAAATTATATTCGTTTCATGTGGCACAATTTAGTCTGAAACCAAAGTCTATTTGACCTATAGCTCTACATTTTATGATATTCTGCACTGTATTCTAAGCTAATAAGGTAATATCTTTAATCAACAAATACGACTCTGTAATACATTGACGTAATTTAAGGAGAAAACCAACATTAAATAATGATCCAAACAAATCATGTAACAGTCAGCGAGGCTGCACTCATGAACAGCAGGAATCAATGTCAATATCACACTTTTCCATTGAGCCCTGCTGCTACAACTAAAATCAAAGAGCTTATCGATTGAAGAGACAAACATCTGACAATGAGGGGAAGGAACAGAAGAAAGACGTTGATCACTGCGCCTAATTTGGCCTCATAAGCTTCTCCATCAGCTCTGAACGCAGCGAGCGGCTTTCACAATATGTCTCACCACAAACAATTCTCCTCAGACACATACCGTACCTTCCTCGAGGCTGAGGAATGAGGCCCAGCTAACACACTTCCCATGCTCCCCCGCACTGTCAACTTCCTGTTTGTTTATAGAGCTTCATATGTCAGTGCTCCCACAGTTAGATTGCAGTCTGCCCCCGTTCCCATATGTGGAATAATTGCTTAAAGAAACCTGGAAAAGGATGCAGACAACCGCAGAGTTAAATCAGCTATAAAATGCAAGCCCACTGTCGGGCCTTTGTCGTGTTACCGGGATGTTATTGTTTATTGTTTAGTTTCTCAGAAACCTATTTTCTCTCTGGATCCAGAGTATCCGATAGAGCCCAGCAGTGA